CTGTGCTTGCTCTTCCGCCAGTGCATGACGTCGGGGACACAACCACAGTCTTGGAAAGTGGCAAGTGTCGTCCCAGTCCATAAGAAACGGTCAAAGCCAGCCCCATCGAACTATCGGCCCATTTCCCTCCTGCCGCTCATCTCCAAGACAATGGAAGCAGTTGTTAACCGTGCTCCCACCAACTGTCTCGAACGAAACAATATACTCTCACACCACCAGTTCGGTTTTCGTCCAGGGTTAGGACCTGCTGATCTCCTGACAGGACTACACCACCAATGGAGCAAGATAGCAGCTGCTCGCGGTGCTGTACGCATTGTTGCCGTTGACATTGCGAGGGCCTTCGATAAAGTCTCCCATGCAGGTGTCCTCCACAAGGCAAAGGCTTACAGAGTATCCGGGAACCTCCTCAAGTGGCTCCACAGCCACCTGGCGGATAGACGAATCCAGGCCATTGTGAGTGGACAAACCTCACCTAAATTCCGAATCACCTCAGGTGTGCCACAAGAGAGCATACTGGGCCCCACTCTGTTCCTCCTATATGTCAATGACATGGAGGACCACCTCCCAGCCACAACCCAGCTCGCCATCTATTCAGATGACACTACGCTTTATCAGTGCATCCCGTCCCTGACCGCTCTCCCAGTTGGCCGAGCGCAGCTCCAGACTGCTGTGGATGCCTTAGCTGAATGACGCCAGAGCTGGAAGATCGCATTCGAGCCGACAAAGTTGCAAGTCTTGACGATTTCGCATCACCGTCAACCCTGGCCGATTCCTCCAGCCACTTTCAATGGGGTGGCCATAGAGGAAGTGGAGGAGCTGAAGTTGCTCGGAGTGCTCTTCGATCGGAGGCTCTCCTTTCGCTCCCACATTCGACAGGTTGCAGTCTGTGGTCACCAACATCTTGGCTTCATGAGGAAGGTCCTGCCAATTCTTGACAACAAGGCCAAGTATGCCGTTTATCGAGGCTTCGTCCGCCCAGTACTTGAGTACTGCCCGCTTTCATGGTTGGGTGCGTCCCAGACTACCCTGAACCAGCTGGACCGGGTACAGCACCAAGCCGTAAAGCTCATCGGCCCAAGGTCATATCTCCCAAACCTCACTGTTCGGCGTCAAGTTGCAGCACTCACATGCCTGTCACGGCTGATTCAGACTGCAAAAAACCGTGCACAGCATCTCGGGTTCGAGGCCAGACCAGCAGTCACCGGAGTAGGGGATTTTCCCCTACTCAAGCGTAATCAATGGCTGAGAATTTCTCAGCGCCAGGTCTCTACACGCGGCTTCTCGGCCTCACCAAGCGGAGCCTGAGATACTGAAAACAACAAAAATAGCATCGTGTGAGAGTACAGTAGCTGTAGTACAATCGCGTGTAAAAAACGAATGCTTCTTTCTTCGATCGAGCCACTTTTCAAGCGTTTCTTGTCGATACCTTACTCCTTGTTGAGCGTGTCTTTTGCTGTACGTAGGCCAGGGAAACTGCCCTGGGTAGCTAGTTGGGGAATTTTGGTGGCAGCGAGGGAAGTTTATTTGTATAGCGGAAACCTTCATCTACAAAATACGTTAGTGTCATTGTGGTCTGTTGGGTAGTTCTTCTCGGCCTCACCAAGCGGAGCCTGAGATACTGAAAACAACAAAAATAGCATCGTGTGAGAGTACAGTAGCTGTAGTACAATCGCGTGTAAAAAACGAATGCTTCTTTCTTCGATCGAGCGACTTTTCAAGCATTTCTTGTCGATATCTTACTCCTTGTTGAGCGTGTCTTTTGCTGTACGTAGGCCAGGGAAACTGCCCTGGGTAGCTAGTTGGGGAATTTTGGTGGCAGCGAGGGAAGTTTATTTGTATAGCGGAAACCTTCATCTACAAAATACGTTAGTGTCATTGTGATCTGTTGGGTAGTTTTGTGTGCATGGTGTTCTTTCTGAAGTCTCTTATAGCTGAACAATGAGCTCTGATTTCAAAAATTTGAATTTTCACCTTGAGCATGTGAGTATGCTGTGTCGCTTGGGTGGATGTAAACTTCCCAGCCATCGCAGTGGTCGGAAGTCTTGGAGCCCCCTATTTATCTAGCGAAAGATTATGCATTGCAGATCTTCAATGTTCTAGGTCTCAAGGTAGAAAAAGATGAAAGTGGTGTCCACCCCACACATTTCTGTAGGGCATGCTTACTATTTATGCAGAAGTCAGCAGAAAGTGAAACACCGTGTGATGTTGGTGGTGATGGTAAGGGAGGGAATAGTGGTGGTGGTGGGTGTAGCAAGGCTCTGCCAAATGTACTAGCCTGGATGCCGCACACAGATGATAAATGCATTGTATGTGGGTGGATTGAGAGTGCAAGAAAGGGAGGTAGACCAAAGAAGGAGAACAATCTTAAGGGGCGTGCTCTGTGGATAACAAGAGCCAAAACACCGGGGAAAGTTTGTTGGGTGTCGATATTGACGAAGCCACACTGTTCGGGCAAGCCACGCCTTCGCATGTATGTACTCTTGGAGAGGAAGGAGGTGAATCAATACACCACCCATTCAACCTCCTTCTCTCTGGCCTGCAGAACACAAACAAAGATGTTGACCGCCTAAAGGTCTTGGTCGTGCAGTACCTAACAACCACACTGCCGACACACAATAAGCTAATATCTCCTTCAGCTAAAAGAAGAAGAAGCACTAACACCAGTGCTTAATTTGTAATGCACAACAATTGCAGTATTAAAGCGAAGGGAAAATTCCCAAATCTAGCTACCTATGGAGAAACGAACTGTTTTGTCGCTCACAACATCAGAGCAGGTGGTGGCGGGCCATAGGTAGGTAAACATTATCACTCTGATATATTCAGAAATCATTTGAACAGCAAAACCGTAACTTCAAACATGAGACAAAAGTCAAATACAATGCAGCGATGCAATTTGAAATCACAACTGTTCTACACCATTGAAATCAAATTCACTACTTCTTATACTGCACCTTCTTTACTGCTGATGTTCAGCCACTGTGCAGATCCTGCTGTGCAGATCCTGCTGTGCTAGCCTTGTGATCTCATATCAGAATCCAGCCAGAATAGAACAGCAGCTGCATTGGAGCATGCCTGTCCCAGGCCCGCCAAGCAGATGCAGTGTGCCAACAGAACAGCACCAGAAAGGGGGGGGGGGACTTGTCAGAATACTCAAGCGAGTGTCCATGACAATTCTTTGCTTCCTCCTGCCATGTTGAGAATCACGTGCACTGATTCAGCCACCAGGTGGCATGCATCAACACATCTATTATGTCAAGAGATTTTCGGGTTGCCCTGAACTAAACTCTAAAGGAACGTACAGTTCAGGTGCTGAGCACGTGCAGGAACTACACAATGCTCCTCGCCCACAGGCAAGTAGAGGAAAAGGCACTGTGACATGATCCATAATACTAGAACTTACACAAAAAAATAAAAGAAAATACTACAATTGTAGAAGTAATAACAATAGTTCCAGCACGAAAATGATGTTGTGTCGAAGAACGGCATAAACCGAAGAGTCACTGAGTCTGGCAGATGTCGCCTTCATCTTTTATCGAAACTCCACGTCAAGACAGCGAAGACTACACTTCACAACCACTTGACTTGGCCTACAACGAGACAAACTCCAAACAACTCAACAATGTTTTTTGTAGCTCTGTTGATCTTTTGGCACCAAGCAAAAATATTGTTCCTTGCACTGCTTGTGGAATCTCTGGGTGGATCGACGGTCCCCCAATCCTGACTACCATGACACCACCGAGGGCAGTTGCTAACCAGCACCTGTGCTCCACTCGCCACCAGCAAGAAAACCAGAACCAGCACCAACTAGACCCGACACTGCCCGCCGGAGCCCATAATAGTGCTCTCTGATCACTCCCCCATGCCACGATCCAAGACTGGAATCGTCTCCCATCTGCCCGGCTACGCAACCTTCCCACGCAGAAGGGAATGCAGGCATTCAAGGAAGGCGCCTATAAGTCTCTCCGCAGCCAAGACTGGCGCTCAGCCACAGATGCCCTCTGAACACTCCCTGTACACCCTCTCCGCTTGCACCCTGGCTCCCCCCTTTTTATTTATTTTATATTTTTATTTTGTTTCCTCTATCACATGTATCCTCTTTACGTTTTCCTTCCTCTATATAGATGTACTCCCCCCTCCTCTCCCCTGTGCCTACTCCTCCCCAGTTTTTGGTGCACTGAAGTGTCGCTGAAGCCGAGGCCTCAGGTCGGCGGAGATGCTCCAGTTTCACCACCACATTTGCGTCGGCAACCACCTCTATCATGCAGTATTCTGTTCTCGAGGTTCGTGGTTTTTCGTAAAAAAAACACACACACTTCCCTTGACAGGCTAGAATGACTCCAGCGGAAAGCCGCCAGAATATGTCCCCACCTTCCCCATTACACACACTTAGAACACTCCCACCTTTTCCATCGCATCAAATGGCCAACATTATTTTCACGCTTTAAAGTTAAACATATATTCTTCGCGCATTCTCTGCGCCTTATTATGCCCCACCACATATACTCTTGCTGCAAACTGCTAGCAAGGTGCAACCTTCGTATAATTTACGTCGCTCTCGTACTTGGCACTTGCCAACTCCGAGGACTGATCACTGTCTCATTTCTCCCCTGTACAAGGCCCTTCATTACTTCAATTGCTTGCCCACCCAGCTTCGCGAAATCCCTTCTTTTATTCTCTTCAAATCCCAGATATCCCTGCTGTTGCACAACTCTGTATGCTCGTGTAGCGGCCACCCCTGCCCGTACACTTAAGTAGTCATTAACCCCTAGGCTTTGCCCACCCAATTCTTCCTCACTTTTTTCTCCTGTCTTCCACTATTATCTCTTATTGGCCACTGGCTATCGTGAGAATAAAGATTTGAAACATACGCACACACATACACACACACACACTCCCTCTCTACAACTCGCCAGCATAGTAGTAATACGTGAAACTCAGAGTTGGCAAACAGCTTCCAATCTCTCTTATGTACAATCTGTATGTAAATCCTGTTGCTGCAGGCATTGATTTTGTGGGGTACAGTTACTGTACTAACACGCAAAGTGTGCTTAGACAAACGAACACAACAATCCCTCTTCAGACTGGCAGAGACCTGTGCCACGACAAGAATGGCACGGTTCTACAGATGAATACGGTACTTTTTGGATGCGCAGACCAAATGAATACGTGGGGCAGTTATTGGATCGACTATACAGCAGCGACGAGGTTGATAGTCCCATATACGTCTTATTCAAAGTCTCGGTATGGACAGATCAGCAAAAATTTTTATGCCATTGAATATCGTTCTCAATATATCCTATGTGAGCTGGGTAAGTGATAAAAATGCGTGTGTTGAGTATGTTGTCCAGCCCAATTATTACCAATGTTAGCTGGGATTTACATTCACACCTCACTGGTAACTTCCTTTTAGAGATAACTGAAATTTCTTCGGTCTTGTTGGTCTGTGCGGCCTGGCCATATTCAGCAATTGTGTCTCTGATTCATGATGAATCTGACCTGAGTATGGGCTATGCACCTCGTTTCGGTCACGAAGGTGTGACGAGTTTCCTGTTCAAATGATCCCACCCTGGACAGTAATTACTCATTTCACCATTTAGCTGTGATATATGACTATAATCCATTCCTGACCAAAGCCTGGTTGTCGATACTGTTATCTTACTACTTGAGGTAGGAGTAGTTTTTTACTGCCAATACTGTGATATGACTAGAACTTACCGTTCTTATCTGTTGTGAAACCACAAGTTCTCGAGAGTGAAAGGCCTTCTCGCTTGTGACATTGTGTTCGTTCCAATGCAGTTGTATCATGACTCCGCCGTACCGCTGATGTTTACGACGAGGTATACGCTACAGGCACTATATGCGGCTTGCTGTGTGCGCTGTAGTTGTATGTTGTATGTGTATGCCTTTCTCATATACATGTACGCTGTCATTTTCACGCTATAACTACCTGGTGGTTTTAGTGTTCGTTATTCATTATTATTAGTCGATGGAAGTGAAATATACTGTTGAGAATAAACAGTTGTCCTCGTGCCGTGTCGTCGTTCGTTCCTGACACTTTAGAGAACCAGAGGGTTCACGACATTATCAAATAAGAGCTCATACCTACACAAAAGTGATACACTTTACCTACGTTTAGCCTTCTGCCGTTCTTTTGCTCTCTTTTCCCCTTGATACTGGCACATTTGATCACAACATTTAATTATTATGGAATTGCCACCCACCCTTCGCTATCATATTGGGCAATGCTTCCGTTTGACTGCGAAGTATAGGTAAAGAATGCCAAAAATGGAGAAAAGGAATTCCAAAGAGAAATCTCTCAGCTCGCGATTTCAACAATCGCCAAGGCAATGTGATACTTGTTTAGTTATTTCACTCTATGGACATGCATTGCCAAAAGCGCTCGAAACCGCTTTTGCACAGTGCGAGAACACTTGATTTTTAATGTTCTGCGCTAATTTCCGCATTGTGGCTTGGCAACTAACTACAGTGCAAATTCAGCCATGGACTTGTGATGTGTTCAACAAATTGATTACTTGAGCTCGAAACGGGCATGGAGAGCTTAATGTCGGCTTAATGTCGGCTTGATGTCGGCTAAAAATAATGTCGGCTTAATGTCAGCTTAAATTAATGGCGCCTTAATGTCGGCTTTCTTTGAATTGGACTCGGATGGAGAGCCAAGGATTAATTTATACAAAGGTTAGACTATACTGTCCACTAACACCACCAGTTACCACCAGTTACCACCAGTTACCACCAATTACCACCAGTTACCACCAGTTACTAAATAATTAGCTCATTCCCCTAACATTGCACGACATTAACCGACGGTACTGACGTTCAACAACTAACTGGCTAACAGCTCTAGCACATCTAGGAAGCGCACTCCAACAGCCTCTCGTTTAATTGCTCATCTGCACTCCGACGCTGGGACAAATTGAAAGGTTGTCGCCTACTCTGTGAAGACCAGTGTTTCCCCTACCTTTCACATGTGGTGTTTTTTTAAATATTTTTTTATATGAAAGTCCACTATACTGTAAAAGCCATATATATATATAACGAAGTGCTAACTCTAACGAGCTAACGAGGAGAAATCTGTCGTTAAAATAAAAAAATTGTTATATACAAAAAATCGATACATATACTGTCCTATTGAGCGTAGAGAATGGCTGAGAATCGTTACCCTTGGTACACGTAAACCAGTTCATTTCGGGAAATCGTTATATATGCGCCTCGTTAGAATATTGGCTTTTGCAGTATTCCCGAATATGTGCAAGAAGTGGTGGCGGGGCCAGTTTTCAGCAGACATGACCCGTTTCCCCTAGTCTTTAAAGCAGCAGTTCTCCGCAGCAATCAAAGTGTTAATAGTTGGAGACGTGGAGCACCGGTTACTTCATACGGGTAAGAAACGTTGTGGACAAATCACGTGGCTTTTTTTCTTCACCAAAGGCGTTTACACGTCTACTGCTGCAGTAGATGCTTACACATGCCCTCCCGCTGTCACTCACCTTGGTTCACCTTCTTGACGCTATGCATGCCCCATGTAGCTGGTGACCTACGTGTGGCACTGATATCATATTTCTCCCCGTAGTGTGTGTGGGGGGGGGGGGGGAGGGGAAGGGGGGGGGGGGAGAGGATAGGCTCCCTGGTACATTCCTAAATTGAAGGAATGTTTGAATGGTTTTCATATCATGGGAGGCCATCACCCCTCCCGCAATTTGTTGGCCAATTGGTCATTGCCGATTTGTGGAGTGAAATAATTTGTTTATCCTGGTCGGAATATGAAAATTTAAAGATCAACATTATTGGTCCTTCAGGGTTTCAAGTTGAGGGAGGGGCAAGTTCAAAACATGACAACGATAGCCTCTGTCCCTCCAGGAACTTGCGATTTCGCGGCCGCGTTGTTTTCCGCGATTTAAAAAAAAGTCCATGATATCCGCGATATTTGAAAAATCATCCGCATTATTGTAGAAAACAGTCCTTGTTACTTGAAAAGCACTGCGATATTTCGAAAAGCAACCGCGATATTTCGAAAAGCAACCGCGATATTTCGAAAAGCAACCGCGATATTTGAGTCTTTCTTCGATGTTGCTTAGTTCTTGAAGCTCGTCAGTAGTTTACTTGTGAGATCGACACCAGAATGGAGAGGTTTATGGGCAAATCAGCGGCTGACAAGTCACAAAATAAGGCTCGCGTCGAGTGTTGTCCGAGGATGGAGGAAAGCTGTCTTGCAAGCTCCTGTCAGGCAGTTGAACACAGTCAGCGCAGCACACGTTCTGTTTTGTCATGCATGATTTATGCTGTACGACTCGTACATCGTACACCACTACAGTACAAGTACCAAATCGGCCGCAATTTCCCCAATTTTACCACAATAATCCCGCAATATTTGCCAAAATCCGCAATATTCCCTGCAATTTGTGGCATTTTACCTCGCAACTTTTTCCGAGATATTTCCGAAATGTCTCCGCAAGTTTCTGGAGGGACAGGATAGCTTTAAGTTCCATGATTGTCATGCACTTCAATCCTGTGTTCATGATGTTCGGCCACGGTACTTGATTGATAATCGCATGCACTTCGGGGGTTTGTACAAAAGAACTTGGATGTTGGCCTTGGGGACGATCATGTTAGACGTAGATAATTTATGTTCCCCATCCATATAACTACTGCGCGAAGTGATTCTATATCAGTAACACAATATTGATGACACGTTCATGTTATGACACCTTATGTTCTTTTCCTCAGCTTGTGACCGTTCTGAATTTGACAACATAGCCACAATCTTACCTGCTGGGAGCGTGACCTGCCTTACAGGATATGTCTACAATGCCGCTCAGCCAGTGTGCATTAATGGTACAGAGGTTGGAAGGTGCACCCGTAAGTTGACGAGTAAAGTGCGTGCTTCTGCTGACAGTTGTAACTTTTTGAGCTCTGAAGCTTTTGACAGCCCAGCTCAGTAGCCTGTCAGATCTGTTATCACACCTTCTGACTGCTTATCATCTTGGTATAGTCATGACTCTTTCCCATGTGTTTTTTTCTATTCTATTTTACATTTCATTCCGGCTCATTATCCGATTTCAATTTTGTATTATTTTTTTATGGTGAAAAGGAGATAAATATGGTGGTAAAGACACACCTGGCAATATGGCGGTAAACACACGCCTGCCCACACACGCTCTCTAGGCTGCAAAGTTCTGGCACAGAGCTCTCCTTCTCACCACCACCACCATCAGTTCGCGCCTGGCGCCTGGTCGATGCATGGCTGGCGGTATCCGGCACAGCAGGCTGGTACATCAAGTAGCGCATGGCACATAGATGATGACACAGCAACGACATAGCTCAATTGCCACGTACATTTCGTCCCCGCTGGACTCATCAGGCAATCTTCTTCTTGGATGTCTTCATACGGCGCTTGACTCGGGAGAATGAAATTGAAGACAAATAAAAAAGAATAATAATAATAGACCCTGAGCTTTGTGTTCAGAAGGAGAATGTGTTGTCTTTGCAGTTGTTTAGCACTGTCCGTCGTGAAGGTGCGAAATAGATCCCTTGATCTCTTGATATTTCTCTCTTTTTCTTGTCACTACGGTTTTGTCACTTATTGGATTTGCATGCTGTTTTCTTGATACTTGTTGTGGAATTATCCACCACCAGACCAGCGCAAGGATATAAGTTGGACTATAATTATTAATTTCAATTCCAAAATGCACAAGAAGTTTACAGAAGAAAAAAGCACGACCTCGACCAGGCCAGAAGCAAGAAGAACTGAACACAAGATATTGAAAACCCTTCTCCTCAACAAGCTGCATCACGTACAACGGAAAACAACTGGCTGCACCAGCGCGTGCATCAGCGCGTGCACCAGCGCGTGTACCAGCACTGCACCAACGTGTGCACCAGCGAAATCAATATCGAAAGTACGTATCAATCATTACATTACGTACAACATGCGCAAGAGGGTTACTCTACTTCATTCTTCACATCTACTTTTTCGTTTCACTTCTACACATAATTGGAGTGATGTATCTCTGAACCTCTTTTCCTTATAGTTGTAGTCTTTTAGCTTGTTTCCATCATTCCCTGTAGTATTTTGACAAGAAGGGAACGAAACGTTCAATATTTTGACACATGTCCTAATTGGCTGGTGGTGACTCTTGCGTAGATGCATGCGTAGATAATACATTTTTTGTAATATTTTCTGCCTCCGTCCTACTTTCACATTATTATTATTATTATTCCCCGCGTATTATTCCCCGCGTGCTAGTTTGTACGTGAAGTGTGTGGGTACAGTGAGGGCTTACGAAGTCTGAAGAAAACGTTGTACGGTCTCTGCTGGGATGACGACTACACCATAGCTCGGTGGTTAGGGCATCGCTGGCTACAAGCGAGGGTCCCTGGTTCGAGTCCTGGTGGTGACAGTCAATTTTTTCTTCAGACTTTTCCCGTTTGTCTTTTTCCCTCAAACCAGTTAATACTATATGACTTGGGGCTCCCCACGTGCTAGTTTGTACGTGAAGTGTGTGGGTACAGTGAGGGCTGCGTCCCGCCCGCCTGTGTGGATTCACAGGAAGTGTGAGTCACGAAGTCTGAAGAAAACGTTGTACGGTCTCTGCTGGGATGACGACTACACCATTGCTCAGTGGTTAGGGCATCGCTGGCTACAAGCGAGGGTCCCTGGTTCGAGTCCTGGTGGTGACAGTCAATTTTTTCTTCAGACTTTTCCCGTTTGTCTCTTTCCCTCAAACGAGTTAATATTATCATTATTCTTATTCAAACAGTAGTTTGGAGGCGGTGGGAAAAACAGTTTCGTAATACGTATTCGCATGCAACGACGCAAATCCACACAATTCAGTAGACACTTTTTCTATCAGTGACACGAGTGACACGAAAACGTGACGAAAAGTGACACGAAAACGGCAATGAAATCAACAAAAACGGACATGAAATCAACGGACGTTGGAGGTGTGGACCGGAGCAACCAACCAAACAAGCCTAACGGAAGAGAACAACGGCAGGCGTCGAAGGTGACAGAGCTAAGTGATCGTATTATTCTTATTATTATTATTAACTGGTTTGAGGGAAAAGACACAAACGGGAAAAGCCATTTTTATTATTATCGTGCTTCCACTCGGCTACCCACTACAATTACTGGCAGCGGTGGGATTCTAACTCACGCCTCCGGAGAGACTGGAGCCCGAATACACGAACGTTTTCGTTCCCTTCTCATCAAGGATTGTACAGGGAATGGCTGAAGTTGGAAAGACTAAAACTTTTAGAGAGTAAAGATAATGAGATAACAGTACTCATGACAAGGTGGAAAATTATCAAGTTCAGAACGACACAAAACTCGAAGGGAAATATTAATTGTGGAGAGGTTCCGGGGTACGATTTTCCGTGCCAAAATCCGTATGGGCGCTACGGATTTTTTCCAGGCGTGCTCCATACGATTTTTCGGCACGGAGAATCCGTGTGGACTGGCTTTCATACGAACCATGTTTCGTATGGAGATTTTGCGTCATCGGGTGCAGAAAATTTTTTCGCGTACAAATTTGGTACGAGAAACATCGATTTTCCGCGGGAAGTTTGATTTCGGTACAAATTTTCAAAATAAAAAGGCATAGCGCGGGAATGTGACGTGTTTGCGATCGTAGCCTAGGCAATGACGGCAAACACATAAGTTACGTACCCCGGAACTTTTCACTGCTCGAAAACGACGTATAAAAAATCCGTAGCGCCTCCACAGATTTTGGCACGAAAAATCGTACTCTGGAACCTCCCTATTGACAACAACATAGTGAGGAAATTAAGTTACATTGTTAACACACCGACGAGGAGTAACACCAAACAATTGTAGCGACAACAAATTTTGTTTCTGCACGCAAAGTTCAGGATCTAAGACTGCGTTTACACGACAACGTACGGCCAGTTTGCCGCTTTCAGTCCCGCATTTCTTTCTTTTGTTTTCGTGCGTTTGCACGATCAAAGCTGATCCGAGGTGGTCTCAATTTGTATCATTTCCGCGCGTCTACACGGGAGCAAAGAATCCGCCAAAGTTCGTCATGTGCTGAGTGCTGTCGTTGAAGCACCAATCACACTTAAAGGCCACATGACAACACTCGTCACATGACGAAAATTGTAAAAAAAAAAATTTTTATTGTCGGATCCGTGTGAATGGTCGAAAACGTGACAAGCGTGACGGAAAACGATGCCAGCAAACCGTTTCGACTGTTTACACTCCCAAATTTTCCCGGCAGAACATTTCCGTTTTCAAATTCTTCCACCATGGCCAGCGTTTTGGTTTTCTTCAGTTTTGGTGTACAACTTTTACGTTTTGCTTCGCGTATCGTATAAATGAACCATGCATCCGAAATGATTTTGTTGCGTTTCACCTCCAGCGTTGTCGTGTAAACGCAGCCTCACTTACGGATGTACAGAGCTTCTAATACAGCCAAATGCAACGCACATGTACCACGCGACAATAAATAATACAACATTACCACTGTACAACCCACGGCACTTGCTACAGGCTGACAGATGTTGCTTGATTGACGAAGTGCGATTCTTAGCTCCGTTGGGTGCTGTCTCCTTTGCACTTTTCTACGCTCGCTGTCAGGAGGTACCACGCTTTGCGTCCTTCTTTTATACTGTTGTTTTTCCCAGCTCCACATCATTCCGGATGATGGTCATGAAGACGGAAAATTTGAAACGATACTTCTAGTGGATTTTTGTGAAATGCAGTGCTCTCTTGAGTATAGGCAGTTTGCCTGCAGACTAGGCAAGTGCAATGAAGCTGCGTGAAGCGTCTTATAAAATTTCCTGCAACATTTCGGCACTGGGCCGAAATCTTGATGGATAATTGATATTAATTGCAGTTCAGAGCCAGTATAATTATGTGCGTGTTTTGAGGGATCTTTTAAAATGAATTGGCTGCAGTGGAGTCTGCGCACTTTGAAAAAGGTTTTCCCGATTGGTCTAATGGTGATGTATGGATTATACCATGAGTATGAGTGGTCTACCGCCGAATATTTCACGTGTTCGTTAGCACGAGGGAAATATAAGGGACACGGTATAGAAAGAATATGAATGGTGCAATCCATTTATCTCATGTACTGTCCCAAATAGAGCATGATTTACTCTTTGGCGTGACCCAGGGAGTGTTGTTGACCCCAGCCGGTCCGTATCGCTCAATATTCCCCGCTCAGAACGGCCGCTGATTGGCTGAAATCACCCTAATCGTATCGTACCAAAGGGTAATAGCGGAATATTGGTGAGTTAGAATGTGCAACAATTGGCACAAGACTGACATTCAACGACATTATGCTTTTAAGCTGCATCACTTCTGGATATGCTTTTCTCTTCCCTGCTTCAGTTGTAAAACCTGATTACGTCTACTCCTCTCAGAGGCAGTCCATCTTCTTGCAGATCGGACAATATACATATTTAGAAGCCCGCAAGAAATGCAACGAGGAGGGAGGCAATATGCCCACCGTAGAATTGGCCAAAGGTGGATACATGCATGGAATGATAATAAATGCGACAACCAACTTGTGGATAGATTATGGCCCGGCCAGCACCAACCAGGCCCGTCTACTTCATGGCCGATTCTGGCCCAAGGTGGTAGTTTCAATTGTGTATTTGGAAACTCGCAAGAACCATTACACCGCTGTGTGCGAAATACGTAAGTAACCCACAATATGTTCACCATTTGCAACGCCTCATTAATTTTGTTCTCCAGGGCAGTGTTTTCTTGAGAGTTCTCTGAGTTACAATAAGTTTCATTCATATAGGGACTTTTAGTTGTTTGCAGAGAACAATGTATTCTGTTCCTTTTGCACTGTTCTACACATTGACTGGATTGCCAGTTCATCCATGGAATTTTCCTAGTTAATCTCAACAAAGCACGCAAATGCTGAAGAATGCAGTGCAGGCAAGAACCAAATCAGCTTAGCCTCATGATCCGCCGGAACGCACGTACATTATATTATCGTACGTTCATTTCATCCAGGAAGCGTTCCTACAAATTCACAGTATGCAAACTGACTCATTCAGATGGAATTTTCCGCATTTGTCGGAACATCCCCACCGTAATAGATCATGGTCCAGGTGAACCTACTAAAGCTGTGCGGGATTTATCACATCAGACCCGCCAGTAAAGAAATTTGACCTGGTAGAGTAGGCAGCAAGTTTTTGACCTCCGAGAATCCGTGGGATTTTTGGGTTTGTTTCTAAAATGTCGAGAGTGTGTTCGATACAGTTAGGGGAGGACCATCCAAGGAACGATCATGCGTTCTACGTAAAGCTGTTGCTGTCTGCTGGAGTAAAACCAGGAGATGTGAAGCAAGTAGATCTAAATGGCCGACGTGGATTCTGCAGAATTACATTTTGTAGCACTGAAGTAAGGGACGATGTTGTGACGAAAGGCCTGCAGGCTAACGGAACGCCTTTGACCTTGGTGGTTGGAGATGGTGCTGTAGTGTCAGTCCATGCTTTTGGCGTGGCTGAAGACGTTTCCCTCCCCTCCATTGTCTCTGCAATCGAGAAATTCGGCACTGTGATCGGCAAACCAAAGCGGGAGGTGAAAACCATTGAAGCCTGTACCTTCACCACTGGAACGGTGTACGTCAGTATAGTACCGACCGTAGCTGTCCCCTCTGTGATTGTCTTGCCTGGCACACACCAGAGAATCCGTGTATGGCACAAGGGTCAGACCCCAACATGCTATAAGTGTGGGTCAAGCCACCACGTGTCCAGAAATTGCACTCAGCAGATGCAACGGGGCAAGAACTCTGCATCTGGTACGCTGTACTCCAGTATGGTAGGGTCAAGCGCAGGTCAAGCCAACAACTCTGTGCACCACAGCTCTGAACCCCAGCCACCACCTCCAGTACTTGGCGCCTCGAGTTCATCTACGGATGCAGAGTCAGAGGTCTCATCTCGACCTCGTGAACCTTGTACGGACCCAGCACAACCCCACGCGGATCCAAAGGACAAGCAGAGCACTAGGAATATATCGGAACTGTTGCAGCAGGCTCGCAATGAGACCACCAGTCCGAGCAGAACCCCAATGCAGGATATGAACAAATTCTGCAGAGGAAAGACAGCTCACCAGTCACCTGACGCTGAGGGCTTCACCCTGGCTTCTGGGAAACACACCTTCCCAGCACAGTCCAGGACTGCACTGCACAGCACTGAAGGATTTTCTGAAAGTAATGAACTGCCAGTTGGAAATGCAGATTCACAAGAGGATGCAGACAGCAGCCTGGCGAATGTTACAATCGGTGGGATAACCTTTGAGTACTGATTTGATCTTCTTTTACATAATCTATGACAGAGTCAAACCCAACTGCCAGACTCCAACCCACTTTTACAAGAACAGCCATGTCTTCACTTAACCCCCTTGCTGACTCATTTAGTCCGTCAGTTCCACTACCTTCTCCTACCCACCCAAGTGCACTTCGCGTTCTATTTCTCAACATCAGGAGCCTGCGTAACAAACTCAATGACATCCTACTGCTCACACAACAACTCAACGCCCCGGATATAGTCTGTGTCAACGAAACCTGGCTCGACGCCACTGTTTCGGACCAAGAAATAGCCCTGACTGGATATAGTGTAACACGCAGAGACCGTAGTGGTCGAGTAGGAGGAGGAGTTTGCATATACTGGAAGTCATGTCTTCCGGTAAAACCAAGAGACGACATAACAACTGATGGTGTGGAAAGTTGCTGGTGTGAAGTCGCTTGCAAACCCCGCAGTTGTCTTGTTGGAACGATCTACCGCCCTCCATCTGAACCTGTGGGTTACTGGGACAAGCTAGACGAACATCTTTGCGCTGCTCTAAGGCCACAGCCAAATGCTATCGTTTGTGGTGACTTTAATGTGAATATTGACCTAAGTGCCAGGGACCCTCAGTATCACTACTTATCTGACTTGCTGAACAGCTATGCTCTGCATCACGGTGTCAACAAGTCTACGCGATTTAGCTCAACAGGACAAGACAGCACCCTCGATTTGATACTGAACAATTTTGATCCTTCCACTACAGCGAAGATCATCCCGGTCGCTTTCAGTGACCATGCTGCCGTGGCCAGTGACTTTCACCTCATTGTGCCTCGTGGATCTGACACCACACGTTTATACCGCAACTATCACCGGATAAACCACGATCACTTCCGGCGTGACTTAACCCAGAAGAACTTGTGCAGTATTACCGGCAACCCAAGCGCCATGTGGACCGAGTGGTCTAGCCGGTTTATTGAGGTTTTGGATGTCCATGCCCCACTTCAAAGTAATCACAGAACGAAGAAGCCTTCAGTGCCATGGATTGACCGGCAATTGTTGTACTTACTACACAAGCGGAATAGGTTGCACCGAAAGTGGCTCTCTGCTAAGACACAGGAGACTTATGATGAATTTAGTACAGCCAGACGTGCGGCAACTAGCTACAACAGGACCCGGAAACAGGAATTCTACAACTCCAAATTTCAGCAATGTACTGGAAATGCCAGAGAGACTTGGAAAATAATCAAGGAGTTGACAGGCAAACAGTCGACGTACAGGGATCCACAGTGCACGGTGGATGCGATTCGAGACACTTTTTCGAAAGTTGTGGAAGATCCAGCTCGCCCTGCACAGCTACGCCTACCCCTTGGGCCTCCACCTGCGGTGCACTTCTCGGAATTCTTGCCAGTCTCCATTGCAACTACTCGGAAAATGTTGGAACAGTTGGACACCAGAAAAGCCACTGGGAGTGATGATATTCCAGCAAGTCTCCTCCAGATGCATGCTGACATCCTGGCACCGTCACTCACGCTACTATTTAATAAGTCATTGAGAGAAGGACAGTTTCCTGCGGCAATGAAGGTGGGTAAGATACGGCCTCTGTTCAAGGCTGGAGACCCCAGCCAACCCAAGAATTACCGACCAGTCTCCCTATTGCCGATAGTGTCGAAAGTGCTTGAGCGTATTGTTCATAAGCAGCTTCTGCAGTACCTCAACACGAACAATTTCTTGCCTACTAGTCAGTTTGGTTACAGACACCAGCATTCCACAGCAGATGCCTTAGCGCTAGCTGTAGAGAACATCAATGAAGCACAAGCCGCTGGGCAGCACACAGGAGTAGCATTTGTCGACATGTCTAAAGCCTTCGACAAGGTAAAGCATAGCATTCTGGTTGAGGACCTCTTTGAACTGGGTCTCACTAGCACTGCTTTGCAATGGTTTTCAGACTACTTGATGTATCGCCGGCAATACGTGGAGACAGGAAAAACCAGAAGTACAACTTATGACAGCCAGTCAGGGGTTCCTCAAGGGTCAGTTCTCGGACCTTTGCTCTTCGTTCTGTATGTGAGGGATATTGCCGGCGACCTTGCCCCTCATGACGTCACCACTATTCAGTTTGCTGATGACATCTCGCTGCGTGCGTGCAGTCCACAGCCAGAAGTTGTCTCCCAGCGCCTCACTGCAGCAGTTCAGTACCTGGCCACTTGGTTGAAGAAACGTGGACTGATCCTTAACGAGACCAAGACGCAGATACTCGCCATACCACACCATAGAGCTGCAGCCCTCGACATCAATGTTGTATGCAATTCACAAGTCCTACCAGTAGTCACATCTGCCAAATACCTTGGCCTGCATTTTGACTCGGACATGAGTTGGACCACAATGGTGGACCATGTTGCTCGTCGTGTTGCCGGCAAAATTGCTGTCCTGCTGCGACATGCTTCCTCGCTGCCGTATCCATGCCGACTCACCTACTTCAGATCTATCGTTTTGCCTGAATTTTTGTATGCTTCTATTAGTTACTACCCGTATTTGACAGTTGCCCAGGAACAACGGCTACATAGGCTGTTCAAACGTGCCGCTCGGGCAGTCTGCAAGTCGCCACCGTGGACCAGTACTGCTCCCCTGCTAAATCGAATGCATGTATGTGATCTACAGGTTTCTGTGCACTTGAATATGTTTTGTTTCATCTGGCGATGTTTGCATGATGCATGTAGCACCCTGTTTGAGTCCTTTTTTGCTGTCGTGCCCTCAACTCGCACTCGGGGAGGCCAAAGCAACTTGCTTGTGGTCCCACCTGCTAGCACTGCTCGTTCTGCTAAGCGCCTAACGCACGCTGGAGCCATTATGTGGAATAGATTGCCACCAGCAGCAAAATGTTCAAATAGGTATTTGGATTTTAAATCTCAAGCCTTGCAGTATATATTATCAGCGACATAAGTTTTCCAATGCTTACTGGATTGATATCTGTTCGTTGCAACCAACCTTCCGTCATTTTTCCTTTCTCTTTTTCTCTTGTATCTACTTTTTTTTTCCACAATATCCTTTAACATGTTATTCACAGTGGGTCCAATGTTATTAGGCATTTTGCCTGTTTTGATTTCCACTATAAATAAAGTATACAACAAAAAGTCGTCGAAGACCAAATAAAACCATTCGCTGCATCCATGTTTCCCTCATGCCAGGCCTTGACTTCCAATAGCACGACAATAACACGAGTTCCAATAACGCCACAATAACATCAGTTCCGAAAACACAACATGTCGAGTACGTCTGAAAACATCCTTCTCCTTCCAAGCAGCACTTTAGCCTGGTACCTTCTGTTTCTCAACCATTATCTTAGACAGTTTCAGTAGGGTTGCCCGATAAACCTTGAAATAAGCCTTAACCCTTTCC